TTTTGTGACTAATTTCACTCAACATAATGTCTTCAAGGTTCATCCATGTTATACGATAGCTTACTACTTCCTTGTTGTTATTCTTCAAGGTAGCATAATATTTCATTGTGTGTAATGTACCAAAGTTTGTTTATCCATTCGTCTGTTGATGGGCACTTAGACTGTCTCCATCTTTTTGCTATTGTAAATAGTGCTGCTATGAACGTTGGTGTGCATATATCTACTTGTGTTATGGCTCATATTTCTTGTGGGTAAATATTAAGTAGAGGAATTGCTGGATCATACGGTATTTCTATTTCCAACCATCTGAGGAAGCATCATATTGCTTTCCAGAGAGGTTCTACCATGTCTTAATGGTTTAGGGACAAATGGGGGATATTACATAAATCCATTTTGCAGATCTAGGTTGAAAAGCAACAGAATTTGGCCAAATATGTAAGTCTGTAAAGTCTTCATGAAGGAGCTCTGGTGGTGCATATAGTTAAGCACTAGGCTGCTTTCCAAAAGGTTGGTGGTTCAAACCTATACAGAGAGTCTTCGGGAAAAAGACCTAATGATTCTGCTCTAGTAAAGATTGTTGTTGTTGTTAAATGCAGTCCAGTCAGTTCTGACCTATAGCGTCCTTGTATAGAGTTTTTGAGGAGCGGCTAGTAAGCTTGAACCACCAACCTTGTGGTTCAAACTGCAAGTCACTGGCATCTAACAATAACAAAGTCTTTGTGATTCTCAGAGAATCTCCTGTTGTTGTTGTTTAGTGCCGTCAAGTTGGTTCTGACTCAGCGATCCTGTATAGGATTTCTGAGGGGCAGCTGGTGGGTTTGAACCACAGATCACTGCAGTTCAAACCCACCTTGCAGTCCAGTGCTTAACTTCTATCACTGCACCAGGACTCCAGAGTATCCCACAATGCTTTGCAAATCAGTGTGCCTCTCCATCTGGTACTTACCAAATCCTTGATGTTGACGGGGCTTTTGTGCTCACAGAGAACCTGAACAGCCTGAAGGCAGCCCTGTGCCGCTGCGGGGGAGAAAGCACAAACACCCCAGTGTTACACAGTTATTCTTACAACCTGGGCATCTGTACTTCCCAGAGACCACGTGATATGTCCTACGCAGTCTGCAGACGCTCACGTTAAGTACGCTGAAGACAAACAGCATTGGGCAGGTTAAATCAGAGGTATTTTAAGTTATTATGTAAATTTAGCATTATTTAAATCTACAGACCTCTTTAAAGTGTTGAAGAGCAAAGATGTCTGTTTGAGGACTAAGGTGTGCCTGACTTAAGCCAGCGAATTTTCAGTGGGCTCATAGGCATTGGAAAATTGGACAATGAATAAGGAAGACGGTAGAAGAACTGATACATTTGAGTTATGGTGTTGGAGGAGAATGCTAGAAATACCAAGTGGATGGCTATAACAACTGGAAATTGATTCTCTCACAGTCTGTAAGACTAGAAGTCCCAATTCAGAGTCCTAGCTATTGGGAAAGGTCATTTCTTCATCTTTATATAGGCCCAACATTCCTTGAAGATGTCTGTGTGTCTTGACATCAGTCTCCAAGTATCACAGTGTGGGGACCCCAGGTCCAAAGAAAGCACTCTACTTCTGATTCTTCTTTCTTGGTGGTAGTGGGTCCCTCTCTCTGGTCAAGCTTCTCTTCCTTTTATCTCTTGTAAGATAAAAAGTGGTGCACACCACACCCTTGGGAATCTCCCATAAATGAGGTCAGGATGGTGGTGGGATTAGTTTATCACATAAACTGATAAGCTCCTAGTATTAGTTTATTACATCATGGGGGGTAGCTACATCTCAACTACCAAACTACTGGGAATCCTGGCTGAGTCAAGTTGACACAAAACCTTAATGATCACAAAATGTCCTGCACAGATGGCCCAATAGTTTCCTTCAGGATGTGGACACAGTGGTGTGATAGCCAAGGGGGTGGCATATGGAAAATGGGATTTGTTATCCACCACACAATGCCGTCTCAGAGGTGTCTGATCTCAATCTCACCCTCTCTGAGCCGATTTGATACCGTTGGTGACAAACATGGGATCCACTAGCTTAATTCCTTGGTAAAACTTTGGGGTTTGCAGATTGAGTTAAACCGGAATGTCTAGGATAATGGCAGAGAATAATACCAGGAATGGAACAATAAGGTTAATAGTCTGAACAGAAAATGGAAAGTTTGCTTTTGTCATTACAGAAGACCAATAAGGGTATGGATGTTACCTGCATAATGTAGAGCTGTTTTCCCCGAGCTGTCGATACCCTCGGCTGGGCATTTAAACTGCAAGACACAAGAGAACACACACACATTGTAAAATAAATTACACACACCAGATTTTGTTCTTTTTCTTGCACAGCACGGTGCTATGTAGTAGGGAGAAGATAAAAACAAATAATCCCCAGTTGCTGCATTCCCATCTGCCCACTGGCATTGAGTCGATTTTGACTCACAGCGACCTTATATAGGGTTTCTGAGACTGTAAATCTTTATGGAAGCAAAAAACCTCATCTTTCACCAGTGGAGCGGCTGGTGGATTTGAACTGCTGGCCTTCTGGTTAACTGTCCAGCGCTTACCTGGGCCCACGCATTTTTACAGAGACCAAGGGAGACTCATCACACTTTGACGCTTCAGTTGTCCTCTCCCTTTCCTCTCCTCTTTCCATCTTTATGGGTCATTTCCACCAGTCAACAAACATGCTCTAGGAACTCCCATCTCAACCCTACGTTTTCCCATTTCCTGCTAGAATTCTCTCTTCCTCTTCACAAAACCAACTTTCTCTTATGAACTTTCCATATGTTCTATACATTTCCACCTCCCATTTACTCCTAAACCCAGTTTGCAGTTGGTCTGTGCCCTCAAGCCTCCCTAAAGTTGGCCCTCCTCAAGGTCACCCACAGACATCAAGTTTCCAAGGACAATGGGATTTTTGTCTTCCTCTTAACCTCCCAGCAGCAATCCACACACATTAATTACTCTAAGGACTTCCTTCTCCCAACTCCAAGAGCCCAGGCCAATCCTAGTCTGCTTTCTCCCCCGCTGCTATGGCCCTTCCTGCTCCCATAAAAACCAATGCCAGACCAGTTGTCATTGATCTGACTCCAGTGTGTGTCTGTGTACAACCGTGCTCCATGGCAACGCTTTCGGAAGTAGATCAATAGGCCTTTCTTCAGGGCAACTTTTGGTGAACAGTCAAGTGTATTAGCCACTTGTTCCACTCAGGGCTCCTACTCAAGCACGCCAAACATAAAGCCTTGGGAAGGGGGTTCGCCAGTGCTCGGTTCTGGAACCCTGCCTCCCCACTATCCAAACTGTTTTCCTCATTGATCTCATCTGTGCCTGAGACTTGAAATACCATCTAGAAGCTTATAACTCACAAACATGTATCTTAACAACGGCGACAATAAGCATTATATAATAAGTACTGGGCCCTGGTGTGGCACTGCAGGATAAGTACTGGACTGACAGTTACAAGGTCAGCAGTTCAAACCCAAGTAAGAGTCACTCTCGGAAACACTATGTAGGGTCGATGTGAGTCGGCACCAACTCTGTGGCACACAACAACAAGTATTAGCCATTATGTACCAGACACAGTTCAGAGAATCTATTTAAGACAGTTACCAACTCTACTTAGATATTATTGCTGTGGTTGTTGTTGTTAAGTGCCGTTGAGTCTGGTCTGACTCACAGAGACCCTGTATAGGGTTTCTGAGATGCTATTGTTGTTGTTGTTGTTAGGTGCCATCAAGTAGGTACTGACTCATAGCGACCCTGTGCACAACAGAACGAAACACTGCCCGATCCTGGGCCAACCTACAATTGTTGCCATGCTTGAGTCCATTGATGGTGCTATTAGTAACTGCATTTTCACAAAAAGAAACTGAGGCAAAGATGACATGGAGAGACGGAGCAGTTGCGGACTTTAGACAGAGAGAGAGAGAGAGGGGCTGTGTGCTGATGACTGGGAGCAGGCTTGTAGGGTATACCCTTTGGTTGGTTGATAATGCATGGAGGGGATTATAACCATGGTAATGAAATGATATACAATAGGATGAATGTAAAACTAATGTTCTCCCATATAATCACATAATTCACAATAAAACATTAAAAAAAAGAAACTGAGGCACAAAGAAGTGATTTGTTCATTTCATCAGAAGTAGTAGAGTTGGGATTTGAACCAAGACAGGCTGGGCTACAGCTTGTGTTCTTAACTTTATACAGTAGATGTTATCTCTGAGCACCTGGCCTACACAGGTCCACTCTGCTGCCTCACAGGCATCTCAAACACAGCACAGCCCAAATTTGGTTTCTTCCCTGTGACACCCAGCCTGACACTCCCCACCTGCCCCTGGCCTCTCTCAATCAGGTCATCTTTGATTTCTCCTTCTTCACCTCCTCCCACATGGACTCTACCACCTGGTCCTGTCGGACTCTTTTTCTAAAATGTACCTCTTAACTCCCCTCTTCCTCCTAATCTAAGCTGGCACTTGTCACCTGGGGCTGCAGGTGGCTCCTCACTGATCTCCTCAGGTCCATTGTTTTGATATGTAATTGATTCTCTACACAACAGCCTGAGTAAGTTTAATGTGAATGTCACTCCCTGCCTACAAGTCCTTCACAGGTGCCCAAGGCACTTAGAATTAATTAAAGTCTGCGTAACCCAGTCTGTGCCTTCTGAGTCCAGCTCCTCGTTGCTGCCATGCCCCCGTCCTATGACCTTTGGCTCTCTTTACTGTCTTGACCAGGGCCTGTCCTACCCCAGACCTTTGCACGTTCTGTTCCATTTTCTTATAATACTTCACCTTGGCTCTCTGAATTTTTCTCAGCTCAGCTTAAGGCTTCTTCTTCAATCAACTCTGCCCTGGCCACATCCTTTTCAAAAAGAGAGAGTTTCTTTCTTGTTGTTGTCAAGTGCCATTGAGTTGGTTCCGACTTACAATGACCCTCTATAGGGTTTCTGAGCCTTTAGATCCTTGTGGGACCAGAAAGCCTCATCTTTCTCCCATGAAGCAGTTGGTGGGCTTGAACCATGGACCTTGCGGTTCGCAGTTCATTGCTTATTGTATGGAATCACTGCACTCTATCTTAAAAGGAGAGAGCTGCTTTCTTAGTTCTGTGTAATTTGTGGGTTTTCTTTCCTTTTTAAAACCAGGTTGTGAATTTCACCAGGACAGGAGTGAAACATACATAACAACATGGTTGCCAGCTCAACCATTTTGACATGTACCATTCAGTGACGTTTCATTCACTATGTTGTACAGCCAACACCACTATCCATTCCTAACATGTTTCAGTACCTTTTCCTTAAGCTATACCTCCTTTTGCTTCCTCCTTCTCACTCCTGGGAACCATTAATAAACTCAGGCTTCTATGCATTGGGCATAGGGGTATATTGTTTCTAAGTGTATATTCAGTGTTTGACAGGAAACACTTGCTAGGACGAAGGGTGGGAAGACTAGTGGCTATCAGAGGAAGGAGATGCTGTTGTTGTTGTTAAGTGCCGTCGAGTCGGTTCTGACCCATAGCGACCCTGAACAGGGTTTCCGCGGCTGTAAATCTTTACGGGAGCAGAAAGCCTCATCTTTCTCCCGCAGAGCAGCTGGTAGTTTCGAACTACTGACCTTGCGGTTCACAGCCTGATTTGTAAACACTACACTACCAGAGCTGAGGAAGGAGATAGTTCATTTGAATTTGAAGATCCTCACAAGACTATTTGTGCTCACTGCCTTGAGGAGGTAGATATTCAAATGGTAGCCACTGGAGAGAGGAAGTCTCTTCAGTGACAAAAACAAGACTAAAGGCCCAGAAAGCTCAGTAAATGTAGGGGCTGTGGGGCACGGGGTTGTTGTCGAATTGACTCTGAGCTTGTCAAGCCCACGTGTTACAGGGGGAACTGCTCCATAGGGTTTCCCCGACCCCCCACCCATAATTTTATTTATTTATTTAAAAATTTTTATTGTGAATTATGTGTTAGTTTACATGGGTGAACATTATCTTTACATTCATCCTATTGTATTTTGTTTCATTGCAATGACCACAATCTCCTACATGCATCATCAAACCACCAAAGGATACACCCCACACACTTGCCCCCTCCACTCCCGCCCCCAGCACACAACCTGTCTCCCTCCCTGAATCCAGAGTTCCCAGCCGCGCCTTCTGTGCACATCATCACTTGTGCCTTCATCCCTAGTGTCACTGCCTCCCCAGACATGGTCTCACACTTTGCTTTTCTCCCTTGATGGTTCCAGGGATCTCTGCTCCTGAACTGCAAAATCAGTCACTCCCGTCCTTTAGTTACCAAACATTTACATTTACTTATCCAGCACTCACTGACAGACCTGATTCCCTATTAAACCACAGGAGTCATTCCCTAATAAACCACAGGAGTCCTTTCCACCTCAACTTTTATCAACCCCATTCAGACAGGTTGGAAACAATTCAGTGGAGGTTTTACCTTTCCCTGTATCCTGTAGAGCTAGGTTCCCTATTGAAAGCTTGTAAGCCAGTCACTTCTTGCCTTTGTAGTCCCCCCATTTTGGTTAGCCAATGTCTAAGTTCCCCATCTCTGTCGACCCTGTGTACCAAGGCGGTGGGAATGATCCTCACTGTAGAGATTTGTCACCTCCTTGGTCATACTGCATCCATAAGCATAGGTCAAGTTCATCCACTTGTAATGGGTTACTTTCTTTTTTGTTGTTGTTGTTCCTCTTCTTTCTTCCTCTAGTTGTGTTCTGATCACCAGCCATTGAAGCCAGGACAAATGGGTACTATGGGTACTATCTGCAAGTGTGGGTGTTCTTGTGCATCTCCCCTCACTTCATATCAGCTGGATGCTTCACACTCTGGTCTAGTCCTCTGGGGCCATATCCCTGCCCCTGAGTCCAGGAGTCCCCAGGTCTCATCATTGTTGTTGTTGTTGTTGTTAAGTGCCGTCGAGTCGATTCCGACCCATAGCGACCCTGTACAGGGTTTCCAAGGGTGTAAATCTTTACGGGAGTAGAAA